TTCAGCACACGACAAAGTGCCAATTACTCAAAATATGAACATACTATGCATCAACTTATACAATTTAATTTGTAATTAGGGTATCGTGTTTTGTGTGCATTAGTATAGTTCTGAAAGAGGTGAGCTGGCAATCAGCCAAAGCAGCTTGCTTTGATCAGCTGTAACGTAAAAAGAGAAGTGCTACTGTAGGCAAGGCGTTTGTGTGACAATACAATGTTCCCATAGCACCATAAAAGAGCACCTCGCACTGCTTGCTAAGAACTTCATAGGGAATTTCTAAGGGTGTTGCAAAGGGTACACCGAAATTTTAAGGGTAACTATGGTATAACATGGAATAAGAGTGAGTTTGTTTGTATTATTGTGTGACTTTGGTGTTTAACTTTTTAAAATTCCAAAGTCACACAATATCACAAACAAACTCATAGATTGCGGCAGTGGTAGACCATTGAGGTAACATTACTGGGTTTTTCTTTCTTATCAATGGAGTTTGTTAGCTTTGACAAGAACAATATAGCGACTGTTTCTGGTTAAACAAAAAGGACATCTCTCTTTAAAAAAAAAAAGGTCTATTTCTGTATCGATCCTTTCCACAATGTTTTCAGACACTTATAATAACAATATGAGCCTGTCAGTTGCAAAGACAAGTACTTTAGTGGACGTACTTTGACATGGCGCATTTGCCCCCAAGGATTAAGTTGCAGCCCTGTCTCGCTGCTGCCATTTAAAAAAAAAAAATCCAGGTTGAAAATACAATAGTCATCCTTTAAACTTCCCACCAAAACTGTGCTAAGTGTAAAGGTCATAAAAAGTATAGTTAGTAAAAAATGCTTTCCATATTTTCTTCAAAAACTGGTCCAATCACACAAATACAATTAGATTTTATTCAAACTACTGAAACCCATAACCCAAGACTAGACTCTCAAAATATTAGTAGCTATTCAGTTAAATGTTTAAAGTCATTTGAAAACAACTTGGGACACGGTTTTGCTTTGAATGAAAAGGCATCTAACCCAAAAATGGATGGGCCTTTGTGTAATACTTTAATGGACAATAAGGGAATGGTCAACAGTGTATAGGTTATCTGTGTCAGCCCAACAAGGTAGTAATCCATGTTAATGCTCAGTTCCAAGATTAAATACATCTTACCCACTATGACATTTCATTTTCAGTGATTTCAGTCATACTCATATCAAAATTTTGTTTTTTTCATCAAGGGGAATAATGTCACTTAATATGTTCTGTTTTTCTTGTGGGAAAGTACATTGATACTAAAATGTTTGTTCTGTTCTGTACAGTATTTTTCTTCAATAATTAATTTTACTATCTGGTCAAAATCTGAGAAAGACAAGGAATTTGCAGGGGCAAAATAGAATGTTACCACCAAAATTTAGTGAATGTTCCCTTTTCATGGGACATCAATAGTATTTCCAAAATTCTATGGCTTAGCATGCTTTAAAATAATTAAGAATCGTAACAGCAACAGTAAAGAACATAGGCATACTTGGGAAACCAGTTGAGGCCCAGATGCTCTGTTTTGGAGAAAAGAATCCTGTCATGCAGCTCGTAAAGTGGTCTCCAGCGCAACTCAAGGTCATCCCTTGACAGTAGCTCCCTTTTCCTGTTAGATGAATTAGACATACAGATAGATTAGAATAAACACAGATCCTAGTTCTGTATACACACTTACCCTATGGAAAACAAAAAAACCTCTTAAAAATTTCAAGTGTGAAATAATTGCATGTTTAACACATGTACAGATGAGCTGAGTAAAATAGATGGGGCCCGTTCTTACTTCAGAAGGTTGATAAGAAGCCGAGCAAGGCCCTGCATCATGCTGATTTCCAGTTTGGGAATTGTCACTAGCTCGTAGAGCAACTTGATGAACAGCACATGGTCTTCTTTGCTGAACTTCCGGCCATACAGTCTCATGTACCTAAATAAGAAGTAGAGATTTAGAGATAATAAAACATGCATAATAAATGGTCAGGCCCCCTGTGAGCACTATGAACAAGTTGCTCATGTTCTCTCATGTGTTAAAAAATATAAAAAGGAATATTATAACAGTTATTTTAACTATATAACATATAATGATAATATTATTTTTAAAATAACACAACTAAAGCTGAATAAGCTTTGTTGAGGCCTTTCAAACTGACCATTACAAAAGTTTAATGGCCAAAAGTTTGTATTTATTAAAATGCTGAAATACCAGTGAACAGAATCTGGGTCAACCCCACAATAAACTTTCCATCTCTCTGAGCCGGCAGTGACTCACTCTTGGACAGAGCAATATGCCAGCATTGGGGACTGAAACGGATTAAAGACAGCAATCCAGTACAACAACATGAAACAGCACTCCAAGTAATCCACTGTTATATTGACTTTTTTTTGCTGGTGCATTGTGCCTCATTAGTAAATAACTGAAAGATACTGTTTATAGTAAAGTTCTAATGAACAAGTGTGACTTATCTATGGGTGGTAAACCTTCAACAAGTAGATACCAAAACCAGGAGAAATACTGCAAATACGATTTCCACTACAAGCATGACACTGCATATCAAAGAGTCCCTTGAGCAACATCCCGGGAAACAAGTCAATAAAATTACAACATGTTATTTCTATTTTGAGATTTGTGGTGAGTGGTCAACTGTCTCGCTGCTTCAAAAAGAAAATGACAAAGCCGGAGCATAAGCAAAACAGTAATGACAATGACCCCCCATTTATAGAATCCATAGACAGTACATAATAAAATACACTGGGCAGTTTGTAGTTTATATGTATAAATACCTAGCTTAGCTAACAATAAGTAATACATAAAAACACACCAGGCTATTAAGCAATACAGGCTTTCACCACCTTAAGATAACGGTAGAATTTCTGAGCCAGCCATTGACCGGTGTGTGTTAGTTACAGTTACAACATGAGCAAACAGTTAAGTTAGCTTAGTAAACAGTATTATATATTCGATGTCGCTCTACAGGCAAGTCGTACATAAAAAAATACTGCATAATGTTAAGCTAAAGTGTGCTTACTTCTAGGCTCGAGATTTTAAATATTATGAAATGAGCAACAACTGACACCAAAGATGAGTGTTAACCACCGTCACTTACGTGGAAAGTTTCCTTGTCCAAAACAGCACACCGGGCCATATCTCTCTAAGCTGAACAGCTCGGCACAAGTTTCCTTTTATTTTACTCAAAATATCATTGGATTCATCATCTAGCCTGTCCGCGTACGGCAGAAGTTTGTTGTATACGATGTCTTTTTGAGGAACAAATCCCAATGTGTCAGACTGTACCTTTTTCATTTTACAAAATTCCTACAGGCTAGCTTCACCCTGCTAGCAAATCTGACTTTCTTTAACTTCAGTCTGGTTCCCAGTGGACGTTAATGTGCTACCTGGCTACTATAACGGCTAGCAACTCCCCAGCTAGCTACCCTCTCTGATGAATCGTTAGGTTGTTATGGCCCACACAGTGACCAAGTTATGATATTCACAAGTTGATTACACACTAGCTAACGTTAGCCATCTCGCTTAAGTTTAGTTAGATTCCGTTACCAGGAAACATTAACATTAACATCGTCATCATCAAAATATTAAGGCTAACGAAAAACACGAGTTTGTCCAGAGAACGTGTTGGCACTCGAATTGCCCTCTTTCGGCTAACGTAACTTAATCCTAAAAACCTGACAACCAGCTAGCGGTCTTGCTAAAGTTAGCTCTCTACTACAAAAGCACAGTCATAACCCAAGGACTGTCAGCGTCGACTGATTCATCCAACTACGGCAAAGCAAACGGCAGACGACACCCAGCTACACAACACGTCCGTCATATCCGCTAGCTACTGGGAGAACTACACTTCCCAGAATTCCCCTCTCCATTCATGCTTTTTATAAATGTTTATCCTTTGGCCGCTCAAACAGGATGCCTTGAAATCGAAATCCACTTAAGACCAGTCTATGCTTAAGACGTGTTCTCAGATGCCTTTTCTACTGCAGTAACGTTAAGTTGCTGTTCGTTTAGGGCCAAAATAACAACTGAAAATGTATTTATTATTTTTCACAAATATTTTACTGAAGATATATTCATTATTCAGGTTCATCACAAATGCTGGCTATCAGACACATCACTGCATCTTATACAGTATGGTAAATTGCCCATCACTCAAACTGCGCAGGATGTTACATTGGTACATTTTTATTTCTAAAGCTATTTTAGGTATTTTGCCTTCTTATATCTGTTTAAAATGTGTTCATATGCAAAGTACATATCATTTAAGATCTAGTGATGGACTACTTTGTAAGGTACCAAGAATGAGGCCCGAAGCAGGAAAGAGGAGACATGTATTACTATATGGCCCTTCGTCCTGGAATGAACTACAGTCTATAGACTGTAGAAGACTGTAGAAGGCTTAAGATTGGTGCGCTAATTTCCTTAGCTGCTTTTAAAAAAAGAATATCTGACATTCTGACTGACGTATACTTGTTTTTAATTAATGGTAGGTATAGGTCTACATTTAGTCCTTATTTTGTTTGTTTATATATTTTAAACTCATTGCATTTTTTTCTATGTAAATATTTTGTAAACTTTGTGTAAATCTATATTGTATTTTAATTTACGTAATGTATTGTTTTTTGCAACTTATGGTTGAAAAATTGTGTTTTATTTGTGCTATACAGGACTCCCTTGTGTCTCAATGGGATCTTTCCTGTTTAAATAAAGGTTTATATATATTCATGACTTACTGTTACTGTTACTACTGCCAAATTATTCACAAAACAAATATCCTTAGGCTTACATGCACGTAAGCAAGAACTTTCATTCATTCATTTTCTTATGAATTTTGATTTTTGATGCTAACATACCGCCATCTTGCGGTTAAACGCTGAGGTACGAGAGCAGGAAACCAAAGGATGTAATATTAGAGAGCTCTTACGCTGACCGTACTTCCATGTACCACTGCGATTACTCTAAAAGGGATAAATGCACCGCTTATATTCATTAAAGTGCAGTGTTCAGAGAGTTTTAAAAAAACAAGCGTTGATGGTGTCTAGCGCGTCTTTACCTGACCAAGTATAGTTTTTCCACTTGTGTGTGATACGTTGCTTTTCAATTGACAATCTGTTGTCGTTCGGTGTCCTGGCAACCTGCCTTGCAACATTTGTCCACATGAAACGTCTTCGTGGAAAAAACTCCCTCTCCTTCTAACTTTAGCCCAGCATAACCCAACATTAATGTCACAGTTTATTGAAAGAAAAGGAACTGAAGTGCAGCCTGTTTAACGGGAAGTATTTAGCGTTATATTCGCTGGCGGCAACACACTACACAAACGGTTTGGCCTGGCAGGAGCAGGAAGGATGATTGAAAAGCTCAGTGTGACTTCCGATAGACTCCTGTCACACCGGCAGCTCGCATGTTGTCAGTCTTACTGTGGCATCCCACTGCATGGCAAGGATATGCTGATTTACAGCAATGTGGACATAGAACAGAAGGTTTGTTAACAACGTTTTGTTACTAGTGTGAAGAAAACAACTTTAATGCGTTAAGGTCTGCATGTGTTACATTGAAGGACTCAGAATAGCATACTATTTTTTGGCCCTTGTGTGTATTTTGTATCTGAAAGTGCCCCTAATTACCTTATTATTTTTTATATAGGCAGTTGCCTATATGTTTTGTATGGATATGTCATGTGATGTCAAATGTACATTAGAATACAAAATAAAAACAATTTATTTGCACAAACAGATCATCATCTGTTAAGACAAAATAACATCTTAAAATGTTGTAACGTTAATGTAATTTATTTGTATTTTATATGGTGTATTTTATTGGAGTCAAAAATGTGTGTCCACAGCCCCTGCTGCTAACTGGGCACCATGGTGAGATCAGTGCCATGACTTTTGGAAAAGGAAGCGGACCTGTTCTCCTCTGCTCTGCCTCTGCTGATTACATCATTGTCTGGGATATTGAACTGTGCCAGAGGAGAACACAGGAAGGTATAGGAATAGTTATGTGTGCGTGTGTGTGTGTGTGCGCAGTTTGGTCTGTTGTCTTCAACACAAGCTTAATTCTATGTCCCCCCCCAGTAAGAATACCTTTGCTGTAACAATGATAAAAATGCTGTCATTGACATTTTCCTCATAACCCAGATTAAAATGACCTACCAGTTTAATTTATTTTGTAGCTCATATTTGATGTGTTGTACTGTGAGTATGATCATTTTATTGGGTGAAAATCTTTTCAGGCCTGTCATCTAGTGAAATAGATATGCCATGTCTATTATGCTCATGAACTTCTTTTGCTTTAAATATAAACAAATTGATTTGTTTGCAGGTAAAATCGCAGCTGGAACGGTTATTGGGACTTTACTGGGTGAAGTCGTTTATCTTTCATTCTGTTTCTCTGATGAACGATTGGCTGCATGCTCAGGAGCAACTGTATATATTCTCAACTCAAAGGTACAAGATGTTGTACATTTCCCTTGGTGCACATAAACACTTGCTGAATAGCTACATTTGGGTTCATTATGTTACTTTATATTGCTAATATGGATTACAAATACTGTACTTAAATAATATACTTTGTTTTAGTCTTGTTTCTTTGGGATGGTTTAAAGGCATCACTTTAATTTTTTTAGTTTCATTGTTGTGTTTCCACATCAGAGACAAGAAGTGATCTCTACCCTGACTAGCCACCTCGGACCTTTAACATCAGCAGAGTTCTGTCCCTGGAATAAAGACATTCTTGTCACCACATCAGAGGACCGCACTTTTAAGGCATCTACTTAAGATTTAAATAATAGAGTCAAACATAAGCACACTTATTAGTTAGTGACAATTGTGTATATTTGTATTCATAACAAACATAAAATATTACACACTGTAATTCAGTTTGAATAACTATAAAGTACATTGCCTTGTCTTTTTTTAGGTGTGGGATTTAAAAACTGAAGCTGCTTGCTACCAGTCTTTTGTGCTTTCAGGTATGATATTACTATATAAAATCTTGTTGGAGCAAATTAATTTCCCTGATGACATTAACAGTCATGTATTTGAGCATGGTACATTCAGTAAAGCCCTGTACCCTCCCATTAAATGTACACAGTAGAGATGGTAGGCATTTTAAACTTTATGAGTAAGAAATGACAATTTTAAATGGCGTGTTTCGGATAGTGACTGTTGTGTAGGAATCAGAGCCTTGCAAAATAATGGTAATGATCATATTCACTGCCAACTTACTGTACCTAAAGCAAATGTACCAATTCTTTAGCCACTCCACTGCTTTGTGTGTTCTTCTTGGAGGAGAACAGACACCTTATCACCGGCTCAACTGATGGACAGGTTAGTGACTGAGGCACACAGTCCTTAACAGCTCATAATCCCCACCAGAAGCTGAAATTCCACAAGCTGTTTGACACACTTGTATATATGTTTGGTTTAGGTGTGGTGCTTTTCTCTCCCTGATGACAGCAAGTGTCACCTGGTGACCAAAATGGACCTTCAGAAGATGGAAAAAAGACATCAAATGCATAATGGGATTGGGAGCCGTCAAGCAGGTGATGTTACTGATCTGTGAAACAAACAAACTGTGACCGAGAATATCTGGCATTGTAGTGCAGGTTTTGTGGATGCTTTAAAGCGATCCTATACCTCATTTTCAGCTTCCTGACTGAAAGAGAAAGTGATTTGAATGAATTACTTTTATACTACTTTTTTTGTCATATACCTCCAGAGGCTGCACAACAATCAGCTGTAGATAACGTGGAGACTTCAAAACCTGTCCTCAAAATGGCTTTCTGTAGCTCATGCACTGACACTAGCAATGAGCATGAAAAGTAAGTCATTTATTGTCATAGAATTCATAAACAGTGTGAAATGTTTATAGTAGGTATGTGATTTCTGGGCCTAGTTAACATGAAACTCTTGACTGACCACTGGGCTAATGGCATTCCAGAAAGGCTGTGTTTAGCCGGGATAATTAATTGGCGAAGTGATGCTGAAAGACACATCTTTGTAATTTTGTCTGACTTCTAGGAGCAATTTGGCAGACCTAGATAAGCAGTTATAAGATGGATGAATGGATAGATAGAGTGGTGGGTTGTTCAGTGTCAGCATAGAGACCAGACTCACTCTCAAGTGCTCAAAGTTGATGGACCTTATAGTGTGACTTTACCATGAGGAACAACTGTTTTATTTAAATTGTGACAATGAATCTTAATGACAAAGCAAGACACGATACTCTCAAGGGCTCAAATTTTGTTATTTCCACACGGTAAAAATTGTGTGCGATCCAGGAAAATATTACAAAAGCAAATCAAACACAGTTGTCATGAAAAAAACAATAAATAGCTGCATATGTCTGCCATTAACACTATATAGATGTCATACTGTCACAAAAGGCTGGAAAAAATGTCGCATCATGGGCTAATTGTTGCACATGTCCACGCAGTCACAGGAAACTTCACGTAGGAAACATTGCAGATTCATAGCATAAACTGTTTCAGGCTGTTAAAACATTTGATGTTATGACAGGAAGCCGACACTTAAAAAGCACAGACATAACTCTGTGTATTTTGTGGAACACTGGAATGAAGTGGATGGTGATTCCTTATTGCTTGAAGCAAAGCACATGATCTCAGAGCTGTATCTACATCATCTTTACTCTTGAACATTACAGACATTTTAGTGTAAAATCTAGTCTTCATCAACTGCATGATTTTGACCTTAGCATTTGACATGACACAGTATATTTATCCAAAATACTGTGCAGGTCAGGTCCATTGCTATTGTGTGTTAACACCATTAGTGTGGATTTTAAATTTCAGTCTTTGTCTCCCCCCAGTGGAAGAATCAAATAAAGAATAAAACAATGAACTCTGCTCTTTTTCTATAAACATAAACGAATACCTTCAGAACGATTTAAACACATTGCAGTAATCATATAGAAGGTCCACACATAATGGCCTTAATAGTCTCCATCCTGTACAGAAGCACATACTCAGCATGAAAATAACTATGCACTACAATGTAAAAATTGTCTAACAATATTATAATCTCAGAACAGGAAGTGGATAAAAAGGATCCATCGAACTCATCTTCCTCTCCTGTTAACTCGGTGTGGCAGTAGTTTCCATCTTGCAGGGTTTAGTCAACAGGAACTCAAAGGAAACTTGAATATGATGTCCTACGGTGCGCATGCCTTGCCACCCCTTCGCATCAGTATGTTTTCTTTAGTATGTGGTTACATTGTCTTTCCCCAAATGATCTTTTCCATACGTTTCTGTGTGGGTCCCTGCAGGGACAAGAGCTGGTTATGTATCGGAAGCTCTGATGGCCTGTATATAGTGGATCTGGCTGCCTCAGAACTCCTAACAGCACTATATTTCAAAGGTAGGCTGCTTTAGCATTGTTTAAGCATAATTGCACACACTATTGCACCATCACTTTTAGCAGAATTTCTATAAGATCATTTTTAAGACACAAAAAAAAACTCTAAAGGAATGTGCTTTATCCCACGTCCTTTCTGCTTTGACATAGTTTTGGGAATAGTAAAGTTCCCTTCAGGAGAATGACACAACCTCCTGCTAAAGGAAGTATGTCTCAGCAAAATAGGTTTCTTCTGTTACGCTGAGTAGCATGAGTGTGATGCCTCACTGGGGTGGTGATGGCACAGTGGATAAGACGCATGGCTTTGGTGGGGTTCAACTCCCCACTGTGACCCACCAATGTGTCCCTGAGCGAGACACTTAGCCCCTAGTTGCTCCAGAGGCGTGCGACCTCTGACATGAATAGCAATTGTAAGTTGCTTTGGATAAAAGCGTCAGCTAAATGTACATAAAAATGTAGCATAAAAGTGGAAATCGTACCTTGCCCACGTGCAGTACAGCCTTCTGCTCAGTGTGTGCCAACAGTAGCTTGTCACCCAAATAAGTAGACCTGCGGATGCTGCTCTCCCTGAGTGGAGCTGTAGTAGTAATTTTACAAACACTCTGTGACCCTCTGAATGCCAGGTAGTTGTAAACTATGTCATGACACACACCTTAAATATTTTTAAATGGAATATCTGAGATACCCTCTAGGACCCTCAAATCAAGGAAAGAACAAATCCTGCTTTCACCTTTTGGTACCAGGAAATATGTCAAAGTTGTCTGGGCTATCCTCAGTCATGTAGCGCTATTCTTCATCTAGCTATTTCCATAGTGAGACATCAAAAGAACTGTCTTGGTTATCTTGCATGATAATAGCTTACATGATAGTTGTATGCCACTATGTCACCTTTCAACTATACAAAATATTGCAAAAACCTTTTAATATTATGCAATAATAGCAACAACAGCTTCAATATGACCTTAGTGTCGAATTAACACCTTGTACAGTGTCAGCAAAAACTCATTGTAAACTCTACAAAGATAGGAGTTATATATTTATATCTTATCTAATGCTATCTATAGTACCGTCTGTCAATTTCTTTGCATAATGCACAGCACCTATACATGTAAACTGGAATGTGAATGCAGCCAAACCCATAACTGATGTCCTTTCTTCTAGATTACCCCAAGCTGAGCATCACAATGGCCGGGTCGTGGTCAATCTCTCCAGCGTGGGATAACTCTGTGAGTGACTCCAATAGTATCTTGATAGACCAGAGTAAGAAATCTGTCCTTTCAACTGGACCTATATCATTCAGTTGGCCTATAATACAATATGGTCTAAGGAATCTTGTACATTAATTTACCCCAATCAGATTTTTCTTGTGTTAACTGATCGTTTGAGTCAGACCACATGCTGAAGAGTGGGAGGGCCTGGCCGCTTTTGTCATTTCTAGTGAATGTTGTCAGTTCATGATGATAAAAGTCACATAAAAATGACACATTTACTTACTGAATTTAGTTTAAACATTCCCTTTCACTATAATATCAACCACTGAAACAAATCCTAAGTAACTGAATCTGTGTAGATTCTTTTATATTTTGTTTCCTATTCCTAATTTTGACAGTTTTAAAGTGCTCCTGTACTTTGGTGTTTTTGTAATGCTGCAATTTCCATTTTGTGGTTTCACAATCCACTCTAGCATTAGATTTGACTGTGGTTTGCTTCCTGAAGGAAAGTGATATGTTTCTGTTCCTACAGAGAAACAAGTATGTGTTATAGCGCAGCGAAAAAGCATAAAACCCTGACTTACCTTTATTTTCAGGAACATTATTCATAAGGGTATTTTCTTTTACTTCTGTTTTTAGAAGGATTATGGACTAAAACAATTGTTTTGATATTAATTAATACTTGAATCCCTTGTCACACAGATGGTGTTTTTAGTGAGCTCTTTGTTCACTCCATGTGTGGCCCTTTTGGAGTTACGTCTGTGTGAACTAGGGAGGATCTGGGTTTGTGGTGAAGGCTTTTCAGTGTTCCCGAGGTAAACCTGCAGAGAATATTTGGTGATGCTACAGAATGTTGATCCCCTAGAGGAGTAGGAGTTGTCATTTAGTTGTTGCTCTCTTCAATATAGAGATCAAAGTAATAAATCAGAACCAGAGTAAAAAGTCTGTCTTACTCAGGAACACTTGGGCCCAACATTTAGCATGCAGGGGCTGGATCCCAGGTTTTCTTGTTTAAAGACTACCTAAATACAGTAGGATGTCTTACAGCTGCTTGCATCATAAATAATATTCTGTTATTTTGTCATTTGTTTATTCACTGGCAATAGTACATCCCATATTACAAAACAGTCAGAAGACATAAGTAAAAGAAAACAACTGCTATTTTGTAGCTCATACAAATTTGGTTCCAGCCTGGAACTGCTCTGCTCAGTGAATGAGTAAACTCAGTGAACATTTTTTTTATGTCTAAGCTTTTAAATCTGCATGAGTTTTAATAAAGCTGCCTTTACTGGATGTACTCCTTAATCCAGAAAATCATACTTATTACTCTCACAATAACATTACTTTATTCATGCCAACATTTTTAAATTGTCCTCTGGGGAAGGAATTAAATACATTCAAGTATTACCTGTACCTCCATAAATGATTATTTAGCTAAATCCAGCGGTACCAATAAATAGTGATAATTTCATCAACGTAATGTGTTTTTGTACTTTAACACATTTGCAATTTATGAGCAGAAGCATGATCACGTCAGCTTGTAAAAATTTGCAAAAACAGTGCAGTTGTAGACTTGTTGCTTTCTCCCAGACACTGGTCGTCTGACCTTGCCGGCTATAGGACATATGAGTGTGGTCTGCTTTTCAGCTGGCCTCCTGCCTGTTGCTCCTTCTGACTCTGACATTTCCATATTAACTTGGCCTATTATAACAGTTCTTGCCATCTAGGTTTTCATGACTCAACAATATCATGGTACTGAGAATTAGAAGGACTAGTAATCCATAATGGTGGAAAATGCTGTGCTCTTTCATTTCCAGTAACTCTTCTCCCCTCCCCCCACCCCATTTCCCTCCCTCACTTGTTTTCAGTTCTCCTCTGCTGCCTGAATCTCCTCTGAATGTTGAGTTAAAGAAGAAGGAGCCCAACCATCCTAAAAAGAAAGGTCAGCAGCCCTGTCCTCATCACTCACCTCTCACTTACGCTCATGCACATAAAATAAAAAAGTGAGCTACTGCTGTTTGATGTTTCTGGGTTTTAAAAGTATGACCTACTTTATAGTTTGCTTCATGTCTGGCTCGTTGTCTGTTTTGCTTGGACACAGGCTATTCTCTTAAATTGTACTTATCGTAGGTTTATAGATAGGTCTGTAAACATATAGGTCTGTTTGGCTATTACATGAGTTACTGAGAACCTCCTCATTATCTGTAAATATAGATGCTGTTTGTGTGTGTGTGTGTGTGTGTGTGTGTGTGTGTGTGTGTGTGTGTGTGTGTGTGTCAGTTGTCATTTGCCACATAGGCAGGTACTTCCCATTATGTAACAGTAAGAGTACAACACATTCTCTACTAAGAAGTCCAGTTTTTTTGTACGGTTGCTTCTTGCAGTAGTGGATTCCGAGGTAAAGTGAGCCTATTTGTGGTTCTTTAGTGTATCATTAGGATCTGGCGGCTTGAAACTCCTCTGCTGGAGACTTGCAGTACAGCATACTGTGGTTTACATTTTGCTCTTAACAGAGAGTTAGTGCTGAGAAGGCCAGTATTAGACTCCCCGCAGCTGGAGTGAAGGGAGCCGCCAGTGCCAGACTTCATGGGAGTCTAGAGGTGCTGCGTGACTGCAATGTCAGACCAAAAACCACAAACATTTACAGACTAGTGCAACCCACCGTGCTGCCGCCATGCATTTCTGTATTCTTAAGGATATCTACAGAATTGTATACAAATTACACCATAAACCTCTGAGACTCCTGGAGAGGAAAATGTTCTTCCATTGTAAGTCTGGCACAAGTCTACTTTTTTTTTTTTTAAAACAGTGTGAGTGCAGATTAGATATCTGTTGTCACGTCACACTGCCATGTAGCATAATAACATGAAGTGAACCAGGGCTGTTGGCTTTCTGAGACGATGATAATCAGCTGCTATTACTTTTTGCATGACGTCACTTGTCTGAAGTGTAATGCCTGTGTCTCGTTGCCTGGATTAAGTTGTTTTATAGTGAGGATATCAGGGGACTTCTAAATGAATGGCCTTGATTCGGAACTCACTTTGAATGTATCTTTGTTTCCCATTGAAAGTTATCAAATTAGTAATCACAGTAAAAAGAAATCTCTGTCAGGAACATGTAACGTTTATTTAAAATCTTCATTTGTCCTTAAATGTCGCTAATGTATAAAAAATTTAACCATTTCAAAAGGAGAGACAGGGCAAGAGGTATGTAAAAACACTGGGTGTTCATTTACAATATCATCTGAAGGACTTCTGCAAGACATCAGCAGACTTTGACATGACATAGTGCAGTCTTTTTAGAGCTCCTCTGCTAGTTTGGGGTGAGACGGTAAGAAGCAAGATGGTAAAAACAATCTGTGAGACACAGGGAACTGTGAGGCCCTGAGTAGTCAATTTCAAATCAAAGAGGAAAGTGTTTCACATTTCTAACTATTGTTCCAAGAGTCACTGCTTTACAGCAACTACAGTACAGAGTACCTTATTGTTTAGTGAATCTAGTTCACATCTAGCTCGCTATTAAAGTTTGATATTGTGGTCAGTATTTTATTCGCATAGCTACATGTAGTAGTACATTCTTTGCCCCCCAGTATGCCACACAGATGTTCCACATGGTCAGCATATTCTTCAGGTGCTACATTGCTGTCAGACCCTTAGTTTGGCTCCATATTGGTAGTTCCTGTCGGTCTTCAGTTACTGTGCCTCTTATTGCCACTTTCGCTCCTTTCTCCTACTGTGAGCCCCACTTTTCACAGGTCAGTGAGGAAATAACTCAGGCCAGAGACTCTGGTTACAGTCAAAACAATATCTTAGAGACATATATACCTGCTATGGTTTATACAATTTTTAGAAGCTTGAATTATTCAGTCTTTTTCTTGGGCCACATTCAACAGCTAACTCAGAGGGAGGTCTGCTGTGGTTTATTTTAAAATAAACTCTGTGGCTGGCCTGAGCCTTGTCCACTCTAATGCAGGCAACCCAAACTGTAAGACAAATCATTGCCACTTCTTAAAATCACAGACAACACAAGCGTGATGTGCATTTTAGGTCTAACAATCACTTTTTAGTTCTACAGGTGCAGATCCAAACACAGCAGAAAGCCTACCGCGTGTACTCTGTAACTGCAGGCAAAAGCTTATTGTAACAACTGTTGCATCAGAAGCTAAACATCTTAATGTTTTGAGCTAGACTGAAGAATTTCAATATTATTAAACTACTCTGCTATAATGGTTAAGACAGCTTAGGCTACAGCAAGTCTTGCATAATGAGAGCTGTAACAGGAGCACACGGCAAACTGCTGTGATTTTACGCTGATACGACTCGACTTGGATATTTGTCTGAAACTCTCACTTTTCTTCAAATAGCGTCTAGTCTAAAGTCAGCGTAAATTATTTTTTACTGCCCCATAAAGCTAAATGACCATTAAATATCAGCAGGGGGTCAATAGGGCTATTGAGCAGTGCCAAGTGATTGTGTTGCCAGGTAATTAGATTTCTAAAATGCTTAGTTTCCTGCATATAATCTGTTCTGGAAAAGCTACTTCTAGAACCCCACTTCACACACAACACAGTGGACAAATGGAGGATGGTTCTACATGTGAGTGACCAATGTCTCAAGACCTTTCGTTCTCAAGCTAAAAAAGCATTAGTACATTTGTTATGTACTTTTTTAATACTGTCTTTGCTGATTCAAAGTTAAACAAAGGAAGTAAATAAGGCTGGTGCTTTTACAGAAGCAGCACAGCATGGAGAGTATCAACAGCATCAATATCCTTTAGGGCAGATAAAGAAACAACATGTACCTAGAGAAACTCAAATTTCAATTCAAAATCCAAGGAAAATGCAACAGAGTAATTGATCAGAGGCTGTCAAGTGTACTTTACAGGAAAATACTCTTCAGGCCAAAACTGAAGTGAACATTGGCACTGCTGATCAAAGATGAAAGCACTCCCAGATAAGAGGGATTGGAAAGATCCAGATGTGGTTCTATTTGATTTTGACTGGCAGGTTTTATTATTGTGTCAGGACTGTGTCTACACTGAATTGTAAAGAGCCTAAGAAGGAGAACTGGCACTCAAACACTAGGTAAATGATTCACAGTCAGGAGAGCCTGTTTGCTGTGAGATGTTGCTGTTTTTCAATAATATAAAGTTATTAAAGCAGTAGGCTATACCTGCCTGCCTACCTAGCAACCTCCGCACGCTCTGCCCGTGCAGTCACTGTGGATGAAAATGTGTTTTTGGGGGGGAGTGGCTTTGGAGGAAAGCCTGCAGGGAGGGCGTGGGAGTTTTTCCATTTGGGTACCTTCAAAATCTAGCTGTATATTGCAAATTTTTCCAAGTTGCCTTCCCAAGCTTTAACTACATGTTTGCTCATGGTTATTGACTGTCATCAGGGATTCTGATCAGGTCTCCTTTTTTGAAGAAAAGTTCTAATGCCATCTGTAATTTTGACATATGAAAACAACGATACTGCTGTAAACCCATCAGTGTGACTGGATTACACTACATCATGTTCAATAGCAATCTGTTCCTAAATTATAGTAGTAATGAATTACTGCTACTAAACAGTAGTTGCGTAAAATATATAACTGCATAGAAAGAAATTTAGAGTTATAGTTGTTACTTAACTAAATTCATTGACAAATAAATGATAAATTAATCTGTGCTTAGGTGATAGACTAGTGCTGAATTGGAGTCAAGGCTGTAAACCAAATCAGTTTCTTTTCTTTTTTTTTTCCTGATGCAACTTAAGTTGCTGCTCAGAGATGATGTGACTTATTCTTACTTTCCCTGTATTTGACAGGAAAACAGTTTTTGGAAAACCTCACACATTTTAATGGTTGTGGAAAAAGTGAGCTCATTGTAATATAGTAAAGGCACTGACAGCAAACAGGGAGCAGAGTGAACCATCCCACAGTTTGTGGCTGGTGCATTTAATGCTCACAGCACGAAGTGGTCACCCAACAATGGTGTATCTTAATTTCCTAGTATAATCCATGAAAAGCCACTACAGTATAATGAGCAGTTCTGCCTAATTGTGGAAAATAATAATAAATAATAATAATTTTTTCCTTTATATATTGTAACATCTACTTGTTTGTATATGGAACAGTTTCTTTTTAGCATATTATATCTTTGTTTTATCTTTGTTTACTAATGCAACTACTGGACCACCCTATTATTATTATTTTTTTTTTTTTTTACAAAGGAGGAATAAAGGAGCAGCCTCTGGTTTTCCACACAAATGTGAAATCTTCTGGATATACCACTGCCCCAAGGTAGGTTCACAGAGTAACCCTTTAGCCTAATAGAAAATCTAATTAAAGTTTATTGCATTGTCCAAGGGTAAAGAGTAACAAAGTAATGGCATTTTTTTTTAAATAAAAGGGTGTACTTCAATAGGTATATTCCACTCATGTTATGATTTCAATATCTCCCAGGCCTGCCCATATTAACATGGATTTAACGTAACACATTGTATAAAACATATTCACAAAATTCTCTCTCTCATCGCTCTTGACTTTATAGGGCACTTAGCACTCATCCAGGTCAGGTTAATGGGAGCCAAGGAGCAAGCAGAGCACTTTTCCCCAGAAACTTTGTTTAGCTCCTTCTGGGGATTTACAGGCACTCCAAGACTTAGCTAGTAGATGTACTTCCTGCAACGTCTTGTCTTTGGTGTAACCCACTCGTCCTCAATGCAACTTCAGGAAGACAACTGAGGAGCTTCACCTCCTGGTGCCTGAAGAACCCCCTCAGTGAGAACTAACTGTACTGTAATGTGACTGGTTGTCACACATCCATCTCCTCCATTGCCAGTTTTCACTAGCAGGTTCTAAAGTTTTTAACATGATAAACAGCAAGTACTTTCAGCCAACAGTGCTTTGCAGCTATTTCAACAATTTTTGAATGTGGTCTGTTTAACCTCCACCAGGAGACAATGATGGTTACAGTCTTTGTAGTCGGAGTTCTCCACTAGGAATTCCTAACAAAGCCTTCATGATTGTTTAACATTTAACTCATCACCAGAGGTTGATCTGTTAATAGCTTGGCCTTTTCTTAATGCAACAATCCAAACAACCTAATAAATTTGTTTCTTTTGTAAACTTTTTAGGACTGTGTTTTCACCTAAAACAAATATTCAGAAGAACCCTCCTTCTAAAAAGGCTAACAGAGACAAGTAAGCAATCCCATCATTTATACAATGTTGCGAAGGTTTTAAAATGTTATTGTTGATAGCCACACTAAACCTCTTTTTTTGCCATGTAGAGGTTTACTCCTCAGAGATTATCCAGCAGACAGTGCAGCACCGACTGTTCCACACATTCATCTAAGAACTGGCAAGAAACCAGTCTACTGCCTTCAGTTTTCGGGTGAGACATGTTTGCTGCGGCAATACTGACCATAATATTTAAAACACCTAATAATACATTTTAAAAAATAGAGTCACCAGTCAGTAATGTTATGAAAATTCTAAAATCACAATGTACTTCTCAAACATTTCAAATCTAACAATGACTTTCAGGCAAAGTAGTTATACAAAGAAGTGTGAGCAGACAGAAACCAGGATTTGAGGATCTGAGGTTTTACATTGAGAATTGGAGACTGTACACTCTTTTTGTTGCGGCCTGAACTTATAGCATTTTATCAGCTGTAACAGAGTTTGAAGTATCACTTAGCAAACAGAAAGTTATAAAGAGCATCCAGCTTTGTCCATCCTTTACTGGAATGGTGAATTTAGGTAAAACAATAATTTATGAGGAGGCATTGGCAATAAATTTAGAGCAGTTCATTGTTGTTGTTACACAATAATATTCTATTCTATGATAAATGTTCCTATTTAGATAAAGCACTTCACTTCCCTGCTGTTTAAAAAAACAAACCAAACTCTTTTTGGTTATAATAATTCTGCTGTTCTTTCTGTTCATTTCTGTTTCCTTGTCTCTCCCAGGTGACGGAAAACAAATCCTTTGTGGTCTTGGCGACAGCTCAGTGTTATTGTATACGTCCTCTCTTACTGGCGATCCAACTGCCTACACAGGTGCATGAAGTGGACACGAGTAACCGTACCTTAAAAACCTCCGGGTTATACAGTTTTTGCCCTCTGTCACCTCAGTGATTGATTGACATCACAGATTATGATTACATTTTAGAGCTATTCGAGGTTAAGATCTTACCCCTGATGCTTCTGAGACAAGGAGGAGGTTGAAACTAAGATGTTCAGTCTGCCTTATTTGGGCCATTCCTATTAACATACTTTGGATGAAAGACTCAGAGGGAATCCAACTATTCACTCACTCAGCTATCGCTGTCAAAATTGTAGATAAAGCATGATTTGGTTACATTCCAAAGCAAGAATTTAGAACATGCTGTCTTTGTTTTTATCAGACAGTAAAACCTAGGCGGTGGTGCTAGAAAAAAGATGAAAAGGGCACATTGTCTTTTGAGACCAACTAGGTTTGAACTAGTATTTTGTGCTATTCTACACACCAGTGAAGATTAAAGTATTACTAAGAGCAAACAATTCTGTCTGCCACCCAGCCATCCTGGGCAGTAAAGCAAACACTAACAGGCAAAGAAAGGACATACATGCATGTCAAACTACGGAAACATAGTCGCCACAGGGGGGCAGCAGAGATGAGAGGACAGACATTGAGGTGACCAGTAGGTCACCATGAGCCTCTTCTCTTCATTCTGCCTGACTCTCCTGAACAGTACCATAAATGTAAATATTACAGCCACACTTTCCAGGTTGATTTCGAAACCTCTCTCTTTATATGTAGGGCACGACAAACCAGTGAGCAGTGTGAGCTGGAGCCTCAACAGACAGTGGTGGCTTAGTGTGTCAGAAGACCAGTCACTACGAGTCTGGACTCATGGCAGCCCAGAGTCTGCCATTATCATGGTAAATGTTCCATGAATTCAAACACTTGTGTATTTTTCCACCTGTTTTATGGAATTCATTCAACCCCTAATCTAAACCATCACCAATACATCTCAAACACACTTTCACTCACTCATTACTCCAGGTCCAAGTCCTAACCATGAAAAAACAGTGAAGTGAGGACCAGTCAGAGTGACCTCATATTGCCCTTCTCTGAATATCTGAAAACTCATTGGTTTTGAAGTAAACCAAAAGAACTACAGGTCATGCACATTTTTCACTCTCACTCCTGTCTCCAAAACGGCTATGTGATTCCTGGAAGGATTTTGTCCTTAATTGCAGTGTTGTAAATGAGACCATGATGCCACAGCTGAATGACAGTAGAATAGTGGTTGCTACTGTAACCACAATGTTTTGCTTCACATGTTCATTTCCTTTTCTTAAGAACATGCTCTCAGTATCTCATCCTCTCAGGTATGGATTCTGTGATAAAGTTCTATATTAAGAGATATATAGTGTATTAAGGGTAATGGAAAGGGTGCAGTATATTATTGAGTATAGTGTAAGCAAGTAAGAGATGCTTTGATAAAAATTATCTAATTTGTTTTGTCATGTGTTGTAGAGTCATTGCACATCTTTATAACTGGGGAATTTCTGTGTAATGTTTAAAGTGTGTCTTTGACATATTGATATAAAACTGGCTTACTTCACTTTTTCCTTTTCTAATAACAATAGTCTCAAGAATTAAAAAAGAGAAAGCCAAATTAATTTGAATAATAAAATGGTGTATTTCTTGGCTCAAGGAGAGTGACTTTGTCATTGAAAGCATCTGCTGGACTCGGATCCAAAACTGTGATTATATGCAGACCCTCCTTACTTCATTGGGTATCACATTTAATGGGACAGTCAGAAGTACGTCTACTTCCCCATGCCAAGTGAAAACTCTGGGGTCTCCCCATAGCTGATGCTAACCATCCCTGCTTCGCTCCACTCAGTGAGATTGTTTCGAGCTTGGCTGGGTCTGCAGCCATGGCTGCTTGATGCTCTTGTGAAACAACTTGGCCACAAAAGCAAGTCATTTCAGGGACAAGAGCTCTTACGGGGTGAGCCAGAATTACAAATGACATTGCACAGTTATACTTGAAAACATTAGAAAGATATAACCTCGTATCACCATATAGTATTCTTAAAATATTTTGTCATTGGACGTCGTTCGATGTCAGACAGTAGGTCGATCTGACAGAACAGCCCATCTTTTTTTATCTTTGTTTACCTTGATTAGACTCTAACTAACTATGCACTTTGGGGGTTAAGGAGAACAATGTTAATTTCCGATAGAGAAAGTTTCTGATGCGGATGCTTTTTATTGAGTTCACTCCATCCAATTTTTGGAATAGTCCCTTTTTCCACATGGTGTGAAAAACTTCCCTATGAACTATGAAGAGACAAGAATGAGGAGACGTTAGTTGGTTTGGTGAAATCTGAATTGAGCAAATATTCAAGATTTACGTGGTCTACCACTAATGCACTAATTTAACACACCACAGCTGAGGGTGCTGCATGTATCATTTTAAGCAATTAAAAAGTGTTTAGTGCTGTACAATATATAAAAGTGTACACGACTTACTATTACAGCTTTTTATTGCTTTCAGAATTCAGCCGGGACTTTACTTTGTTTTAAATCACCCCCAGGCAATATGGAGTTCATATTTTGACAAAACTATTTAGGATCAGAGTTTTTCTTTATTAGCATCAATGATATCCCAATAGTAAAAAATAATAAGAGGAGATACAGAAACATGAACATAAAATACATTCTTATTAGTTATTCTTCTTATAATTTTAGTTTTCTTGGATCATGAATGTCTCAATAACTTGAAGACATTAGCTTGATCTTTGTCTTTTTTTCTTTCCTCCTTTAGGGGAACAGTATGTTCTGCAAACCCATCAGAGGTGCTCAGTTTTATTACCTCGACAAATTTCTGCTTCTGGCATCTGGGCCTTCTCTACGCTTGTACCTGTATAACGTGGACGTCACACGTGACAACATCAAAAGGTACAGACAAGGGATTATTATACAGTACAGTTCAGCATGTATATTTGATAGTGATGCATAAACTAGCTGTGGGTTTTGCATTGGTTTTACTTGTGCATGCAATGTATCAATATACTATATTTACTGCTTGTACTTAATGTTTTCTAGTATTTGTTAACTTGTCTTCCCTAGAGGTCATTGGAAGAATAAAGCTAAAAGAAATGTAGGGTATTGTACTGGCCTCACAGATTGTGTTTGTGTCCAGACAACTGCAGTTTTTTCTATTTAGGCTGACAATTTGTTTTAGAGAGGCATCATAACATAAAAACAAACAAAAAAAAATTGTTACACAATCACTATGGCACACATTCAAACTTCAAAGCTGCAAAGAAGGATCACAGTGTTGTTTCCCTATAAACAGTAACACTGATATTATGGGGTTTACGTGCCTTTCTTGAGAGAACATTAACAGCAGGGGAGGGAGGGTTCAAACCAATCATCTGCAGCTTTTTGCCTCCAGACACCCAGCTATAATGACTACCAATGCAAACACATATATTGTAACAACACTGAAATGCAGTTTAAAAGGGGAGTATGCATGAAAGGACTGGTCTTTTATAAGACTTATGTAATCTATTTAGGAAACAGGCTTTGTTACTGATTTGATGGGGGCCTGGCTTTATTTAGCTGCTTCCACAGACACTGCTGACTATCATGACCACCCAAACTGTTTGACTGTGTACTGTAAACTGTCGTGGTTTATTCTGGAGGCCAGGGACATGACGGTAAAAGCCCTCCATAACCTCTTTTAGCAGTGCATTAAGCTTATTCATCTTTTTCCACTTTAGGTAGTTATTTGTGTGATGTGTATTGTGAATGGGAAACACTTGAAATCAGTGCATCAGTTGTAAAGGGTAGTGCGTCTTACGGGTTTTTCTCCTGCAGCCGTATCGATCAGACAGAGATGAAGAAAGATAGGTGTGCAAAGGGATCAGGTAGACATTTCGATCATGTAGTTACCTTTATTGGTTTAGAGAATGATGCAACTTCTTCTTTTTCTTCATAGATATCAGCAACGAAGTGTCGTCAAATTGGCAAGATGCTTTACGACGGCTACAGCAACAGACATCACCGCCTTGTCTGCAATCAATGATTTCTTCTCTTGTATCCTTTTTATTGTCATTATTGTTCTTGCAGCAGGAAGTGTTATAGTTTAGGCTGCGTTAATGGTTTGGAGGGCAAAGTGAACCTATGCCTTAAGTTGTTTTACTTGGAGCGTTTCATTGGACTGCCTCCATGTCAACCACAGCAGTCAGTCTGTGCTCTATAAAGTCTTTGCATGTTGCTTCAGGGCTTCCACTCCTGATTTTACCTGTAAATCATTTAGGTGTCTTTAATTTTTCAGGAATGTCTGCATTCCAACCCCTTGTCAGGGTTTACAATGCATTTACGTTCCAATAAATCTGCGCTGGTATGAGTGAGATCCTGTCAGGAGCTATTTTGCACCACTGTGGCACTGGCCAAGTGGAAAAATAGATATACAGTGATTACATTAAAATAGGTTTTTTATGTTTTATGTCTGGATTTTCTATATAAATTAAGGAATAATCAAAAACTCACTGAGATTTATTTTAGAGAAGTAAACTGAGAGTGTTAATGAACACCATTCAAAAGGAGACTCTCTCACTTGTGTAAATCCACATGTGTTTAACATGGGATTATATGGAATAAATACAAATTACTACATGAAAATTAATTCTTATTTAAAAATATTTATATTTTATTTTTTATCATTTCATTTAAAATACCTTTTTTCCATGTAGAGTCAGATATTGTGTTAAAACTGAGTAAAAAAGACCATTTTAAAGGCTAAATCCAAGAGTTTGCAAACTTTCCGACAACTGCTGACAATTAAAATTTGTATACTTTTGCATCACAGCATGGAATGATAGAAGCCATCTGCAAGAAAGCAAACTGATGTACTCAGTCATCTACTCAGCTCAGCACCAGCTTCTATTGCTGGCCTGTGAAGAATGAGGGAAAGGTGACATTCTTTAAATGATTTATGTATGAAATATATTTTCCCCTTGGAATACTGGCCACATAGATATATGTCATTAAAAATGTTCCTGAACTTTCTACATCATAAACACTTACACACCCCGCAGCTTGTCGACAGCAGGTCTATAGTTTGTAAATAATACATCTTGTAACTTTTCCTAAAAGCTGTCTCAGACATCGTTCTGGTGTGCGGTTCAGATCGATCTATTCAACTATTTGACATGAACAAGGGCACAATTGCCTCAGAGCTGCCTGATGCCCACAGCAGAGTCGTCCACTGTATTACACAGAACAAGGTGAGGCCATTTAAATGTACGCGTGAATAAACAGACTGCCCAAATAGGATTCCATCTACTATGTATTATCTTTATTTTAATTCGTAATAAGATGTACCGTCAATAATGACTGTGTATATCAAGTGACATACAGTACAAGAAGAGTACAAGAAGTTTGTTCAACTTCTGGTTTATATGCATTGATTCTTCATAATAAATAAAAATCTGAGTGCTGTTTAGATCTGACCCACACAGCAAAGAATCTGCACAGCTTGACATCAGTTGGTAGTGTAAGCCCCATCTTCCATTTTACTTAAGGGTCTACTATTTGGCAGATTTTATTGCGTTACATAAGACATCTATGAGTGTTGTGCAAGTTACATAAGGCGCAGATAGTCTTTGAGGGAATAAAAGTGTTAGTTTGTGGTGTGAATGAAGAAGGTCATGGTTAAAAAAAATGGTTAAAAAAATGTCATGGTTACCCAAAAAGTTTCCATGACAGACAGACAGGTTATGCCATTATCAGTATCATTCATCTTGCTGAGTGTTTGAATGTAAATCCCTGGTGCATCAGGATTAAGACTGCTGTAGGAGATGGCAGGAGGAGATTGCGTGCTGGATGATGGCCTTGGAGTAAAGCTGTTCCATGATGCAGTTTGGGTTTATGTGGCCTTACTCCCAGATCACTGTCTTGGACCAATGTGGGCCCAATTTGCTGGTGTCTAACAAGTAGACAGCTTGGGCCTGAGTCCATATCCATTATAGTGCTATGAAGAATGCAATACTACATCACTCAAAATGAAACTATAAATATCAGTAATAAATTCATGCATTCAAGTCTGGGTTTTCCGCATATTATTTACATTTCTGTGTAGCTATCACATTACATTTTACATTGAAATTAAGCTCCTGGTTTCTCTCCATGTATAGTCATATGAATGTTTGCCAGATTTGTAATAGCAACAAAACCATTAATTTTGATCATAAAAATTATGGAAATTTTGAACTATTTTACAGATGCTTAGATAACTTGGAATACAGAAATGTGTGTATTTGTGCAAGAGAGAGGCGTGTACCCTGTGACCCTGAGGCATTAATTTAAGTCACTTCTGCATGTTGACCTGTGCATACTTGACACTCAGGCAAGCCCGGATTAGCTGGACAAACTGCAGCTAGTGGCATGGATTAAGTGCTTTAACACATTCACCTGTGATGCACTGTTACACACAGCTGACTCTACTCCTTCAACCCAGAGGTGCCTGTTCTTTGTCACGCCACCTATTGTGTGCCGTACATTGTGGAAAGCCTGCAGTGTGTTGTTTCAGCTTGGCTATTGCATCAATGTGAGTTCCTCCGCCTGGATGCCCGAGGGCCTTTGGATGCCCGTAGGGTTAATACCTGCGGATCAGTGGGATTGCCCCTGCCTGGAGACTGCACACACAACAACACTCTTTCTTCCCTGCTTGCTTTCCCGTCCTGAGGCGGACCAAACATCAGGAACTGCAGCATGTGAAGCAGCTTTTCCCACTTCATATTTCCATCGCCTCTTCGGCAAAATTCACCTGGAACTCATCAGAGCAGAGGGCTTCTCGGAAAATGGAACTGGAAATGCCCTCTCAGACTCCCGTTCTCACACTCTTAATGGAAATCTAAACAAAAAACACCCCCATCACTGCGCTCTCTCTCTCTCTCTCTCACTCTCCAACTTACACACTCCGGTGTATCATTTGATCCCTTGTTGTAAAAGTCATATATGGAATTTATGTATAGATGGAATCTCTATGTTTACAATTGAAGCCTATCTCAGTGTGGCATATAAAAGATGGAAAATGACACACAAAGACAAATTAACAACAATGCTGCTTCCATTCCAGTTTTCCTTCCAGCCCCAATGTGCTTAGATTGCCTTTAATGTCACCTCCTTCTTTTAGGTAGTAACAATGCTACCTGGAATAATAATTAAACCTATTTGCCAATATGGATATACAGCTACAATATTTTCCAGTACTGAGCAATAAGAGAAGCTGATTTACAACACATTTCAGTCAAGTATGTGCTGACTAGTCATTCATGTTTTTTGTGTATATTTCCCAGGGCTCCATTTTTAGTACACAAGCGCCGGATTCGTACAACCTCTTCCTCACCAGTGCAGTCACGGATGGCGTAAAGATTTGGGACCTTCGTACACTTAGGTTGGTATAAATACAGTCTATTCTGTTGGATTTGTAACCAATGTACCTTTAACGTAAAAATTGGACAAGAAAAGTGTGATATAATGTCTATGTATTTACATTTACTACATACTTCAGTTTCTTCAGGCTTTTCTGAAGGAAAAATATGATTTGTGACAATCAAATGTTAAAGCACATTAAGGAAGAAACCGTCATTGCTTTTTAGTCCTCTGTTATTCCTGAGAGTAAAATTACCTTATATTCCAATTAAATCTAAAAAGAATTCTTAAACAAACATTCCTTAGTTGATGAGTGAATCGGCAATTGTTCATTTTCCAAAGTACGAAGCTGAGAATATTTTTCTTTGGTGCTTAGTAGCAGATATCCATGAGGCGGATAATTCAAGTAGGCTCTCTTGGATTTCAAAATGTTCTTTTTGGCCCGGTAGAAGGCATAATTGAGTGTTTCATTCTTTCATGTATGAAACTCCTTCCATGTTTAACTCCTCATACCAGACTCCATCAAAACCTTATTGCTATCTGATAAATATTTGTGCCTGGTTTCCAGGTCAACTTCTGGTTCTGAGAGCTATCATCAAGCATCCATCAGCAGAGGCAGTTCCTCTGAGATGAAACACATGGATGTATGAAAACAATATGTAGATGCATTGTTTTCATTTTTCCGTCCCTATTAACTTTATTTCCCTCTTTGATAAACCTTATGTGTCTGTTTCTGTAGCTAGTAGTAACCACAAGAAGAGTTACAGCTCCCCTAAAATATTGTTTCTATGTATTTATTTTTATGTGCAGCTTTCAGCTAATGGAAGTAGTTAAGTCAGTTCTAGGTTTTATGTTCTTCACAATCTCGTAATGATATAATAAGGTAATATAACATTTCTTGGATGAATGTGTGGCATGAGTAAAGCTTACATAAGGTGCTCATATGACTGCTCTTCATGATAATCAGATTATTTTATTCAAGGAAGTTTTCTGCTTCTAAATGGAACAATACTTGAGTGACCATTTCATGTAACTCCTGATAGATTAAATGAATCAAAAAGCTACAGTACAATAACAGCATACTTTTAGTACAGGAACAGCAAACAGCAAAATCTCTGAATTGACATGAGATACTGGTTTACAATAGATATTAAAACTAGTGCTGGATAACGACTAAGATTTTTTATTGCGATTAATCGCATGATTTTCTGCGATTAATAGCCATTAATCGTATAGTCATATATAGTGCAAAATTGAATAATGAATTCTAAAGTAGTGTATTGCGCACTTTTAATTTAAATGTACTGCTATATACACAAAAGGACAATAACATGTGGTTTGCAAACACATTTAAACAAATAAGGTGCTTTTTACCAGCAGTATTCCCTTTACAGTAGCAATAAAATATTTCTTGTAAATATCAACTTAAACATTAATGTAATCAAATCAAATATAAAAAAACAAAGCTATTTGCCACTGCCAGGGCATTACCTTTTATCTAGCTTGTTAAAACAAGTTAGTTATTTTATGACCTTATTGGCTTGGCCATAAACACTACTGATGAATGGCTGTATAGGTAAAAGGTTTTTACAAATATGGATTTAATAAAATAGTATTCTGTCTTTGATCACACTGGAGACCTTCAGAAAAACCACAATGGGAAAGCGTTTCAGTGGAAACTTCTTAAACTCAATCTTAGTTTTATTTTTGCTCTGTTACCTGAGAATGCCCAGCACGTCTTGCCCCTTCCTTTTCAGACAGAAGCACAAACATGCATGAAACCCATGTGTATCCATCAAAGATGGAGTGAGGATAATGGTTTTTGAAAGTTTGTCACACTTACAGAGCAATGTAAACCACCAGATTGGTCACTGTTTATTTCTCAAAGCCACCACCCGTCACTCGCCCCTTGTATTTCCAAATTATGTGTTTACGTGAGCAAGGTTCTAGTTCAGAGGTCTACACACCAGCATTTAGCATAAAGCAGACCTACTCAGATTCCGATTCTAAAGCTAGAGTGAACAGATGGTGATCTGTTTCTCTTTAGTTCAGTGATGTATTCCCCTTAAGTCTGGTGGAATTTCCATCGTCTGATAAATGAATGCCGAACAATACATCATGTGACTAAAAATTATTAAATAATATCAAATAGTACAAAGAAAAGCCAGCTTTAGCCTGATTTGCACCGACACAGTTAAATTGGGTGAAATATATTGGCTCCACATAATGAGCTATGATTAGCCTGCTGATTACCTTGATGACTGACACTGAATACCCAGGTGGATTCAGTAACCGTATAGGCTCCCACTCAAGAGGATCAGACCCTCCAGTGTAGTCTGTATTAGTCATCAGGCAAATACCAGATAGTCATCACTCACACAAAACAGAGAATGTGTGTGGAGGGAGATTCAGGCCAGCATCTCTACTCCCTCAGTCAAAACATTAGATCCACATTCTGACCTAAAAAACAGCCGAGTGTTTACTCTTAACTTGCTAAACTGCTTCTGATCGGTGTGATAGTGACAGGTTTAGTCAGTTGCAACCTGCAGGGTTGAATGTCATAATGTACTGATAGGGATTTAGAAACACATACTTCTCATCCATCTTGCTATCCATTAAAATGATAAGCTCTCAAACAGAAAGTAATATAACCCTGTTGGGTATGAGTATATTCTTAAAGTCAAGCTGTACAGAAGAAACATTTTCTTTTATAGTTCTTATAGGATCTTCCTGCAAAGGGCTTAGCACTAGTCTATCATCTCCACAGTCAAGGCTGTGAGGTTATGTTGCATCATTTATCTTTTCCCCTTTCATCGGCTCCACTAGCTGTCAGTCACTCCCAATTTTCATTTGTCACCATCTGTTTTCTCTCTTTAAAAATGAGCGGATAAACTCAGCTGGGCTTTAATACTGTTAAAGACATTTGCACACCATACTACTGTTTGTAACTCAAGACACAGGAGAATGGTCACAAACTCTTGTCATCATGATTGGATGGATGGTGTCACCAGATCTGACTCCCCTCCAGACCCCTCCTGTGATGTTGTTTTCAGTCAGGTGACCCTCTTTGCAGCATTGGCAGGATACTCTAGGTTCCTCTAGGTCCAACTAAGTCTAATGAGGTGTGGCTTACCCCTCTGAGAGCTGTATGGCCAGATAGCATAGTCAACTGGCAGCAACAATGTATAGAGTTGAATTAACACCTCTCTGGTACAGTCTTAACATAATAAACTTCATAAAGTCTGTATATTGCTTAACAGTTGTATGAATGTGCTCACTGTTACTGTGTAGATCAAATTTCTTTATGGTCACCAGCGATATGACCTACTTTTAGTCCAGCTTAATGACATTAGCATGTGAATGTCGAAGACATGCTCTCAGCAGATCCTGTCCAAGTCCTGCTCTGCCAACATATCAGCCCATATAGAGACCCTCGCTCAACTAGCTGTTAGTGGCATTGTAAAGACATTACATGCTGTTGCAAACCAAAAAACAACAGCACAGAAGTTGAACGAGGGGGCCATTCATCATCTACTACCTTCTCTTTCCTATGTTTTGCTTGAGTCATGCTCAACTCCTTGTCCACAGCTAGTTGAGATGTGTAAAACGTGAGGACTGCTGGGTAGCATTCTGCTCCTTAATTATTCCTGCCCGAGTTCTGTATAAAAATAAATTTAGCATTTTCATTTTACAGGTCACATTTTTTGTGATATGTCTGCACTCATGTGTGAAATACTATTCATGCCCATAAGATGTCTCACTTCTCAAGCATTGTTTTTGAGATTATCATATTGTTTTTATTAAATATGTCCCTTTCTATCTCATGGTCTGTCTTGGCACACATAGCTCAGGATGAATAGAATTATAATGGTTTCATTATTTCAAATATAGTTGACATATTATTCGCTCTTAATGTGACCATTGCAATGAGACAAGCCAGAAATGCTATGTATTGATTTAATCCCACAGGGACCCATTGAGACATTATCAGTCAAATATTTAGTTTGTCCTTCACATCAGGTTGGTTAGGGTTTATTAAATAATTTTCACACCGCTGTTTGCATCTTCTCCTCAGGTGTGTGCGACGTTATGAGAACCATCTAAATCGCTGCCATCCATGCTCATCAGCCATCTCACCGTGCGGCAGGTTTATTGCCTCGGGCTCTGAGGATAACTGTGTAAGTAATTAATACTCTGGGTTTCCATATACAGTGTGTGCTTCATTCTCCCCTTTATACATGGGGATAGTTATACTGCATTGCAGACAGTCAGGTTGGTTGTAAACATAATTTGACAAGATAATTATGATAATCAGTTTTTTTAATTTATAAATTTCAATTTTGAATAGGGTGACAATGCAATTTAGTGTACAGTGCACAATGTACAGTTTCTCACAAAAATGAATACACTACACTCACATTTTTATATCTTTTCATGTGACAACACTGAAAAAATGACACTTGTTGCTACAATGTGAAGTAGTAAGTGTACAGCTTGTATAATAGTGTAAATTTGCTGTCCCTTCAAAATAACACATCACATAGCCATTAATGTGTAAACCGTGAAGTGTAAATGTCCAAATTGAGCCCAATTAGCCATTTTCCCTCCCTGGCGTTAGTGTTACAAGGTCTCAGGTGTGAATGGGGAGCAGGTGTGTAAATTTGGTGTTATTGCCCTCACACTCCCTCATACTGGTCACTGGAAGTTCAACATAGCACCTCATGGCAAAGAACCCTAGGCTATAAGAAGACTACCAAGACCCTGAAACTGAGCTGCAGCACAGTGGCCAAGACCATACAGCGGTTCAACAGGACAGGTTCCACTCAGAACAGGCCTCGCCATGGTCGAGCAATAGAAGTTTAGTGCACATGCTCAGCGTCATATCCAGAGGTTGTCTTTGGGAAATAGAGTGTATATATATACTGTATATATGAGTGCTGCTAGCATTGCTGCAGAGGTTGAAGGAGTGGGAGATCAGCCTGTCAGTGCTCAGACCATACGCTACACACTGCATCAAATTGGTCTGCATGGCTGTCGTCCCAGAAGGAAGCCTCTTCTAAAGATGATGCACAAGAAAGCCTGCAAACAGTTTGATGAAGACAAGCAGACTAAGGACATGGATTACTGGAACCATGTCCTGTGGTCTGATGAGACCAAGATAAACATATGTGGTTCAGATGGTGTCAAGCGTGTGTGGCGGCAACCAGGTGAGGAGTAGAAAGACAAGTGTGTCTTGCCTACAGTCAATCATGGTGGTGGGAGTGTCATGGTCTGGAGCTGCATGAGTGCTGCTGGTACGGGGGAGCTACAGTTCATTGAGGGAACCATGAATGCCAACATGTACTGTGACATACTGAAGCAGAGCATGATCCCCTCCCCTCGAAGACTGGGCCGCAGGGCAGTGTTCCAACATGATAACAGCCCCAAACACACCTCCAAAACGACCACTGCCTTGCTAAGGGTAAAGGTGATGGACTAGCCAAGCATGTCTCCAGATCTAAACCCTATTGAGCATCTGTGGGGCATCCTCAAACGGAAGGTGGAGGAGCGCAGGGTCTCTAACATCCACCAGCTCATGGAGTAGTGGAAGAGGACTCCAGTGGCAACTTGTGAAGCTCTGGTGAACTCCGTGCCCAAGAGGGTTAAGGCAGTGCTGGAAAATAATGGTGGCCACACAAAATATTGTCACTTTGGGCCCAATTTAGACATTTTCACTTAGAGGTGTACTCAGTTTTGTTGCCAGCAGTTTAGACATTAATGGCTGTGTGATGTGTTATTTTGAGAAGAAAAGCAAATTGACACTGTACACAAAAATGTGAGGGGTGTACTCACTTTTGTGAGACACTGTATATGCAGTCTTTGGTTTTATTATTTCAGCGCAGTGTAAGTCACAAAGTTGCGAAAGGTTGATGGCTAATGTGGCATTTGATCAGCTTCAACAAGACTTAATATGTGCTTGATCATCTGTTACTGTATTTCTGTGTCTGGCCAATTCTGTCTGTGGTGGATCTGCTGTTAAGAAAGAAAAACAAAATATTGCAGCTTGAGATATTCTCATAAGATTTTGACAGTTAAATCATGCCCAAAGAAGCATATAAGTCCTGTCTGAGAAAGTTTATCTCTTTTGGTATCTGCTAATGTTAAATTGAGGTTGCAGTTCACCGGAGGCAGAAAAGTATTCTGACTTACTTGCGATTAGTTAGTTTATTTATACTTTATATTGTTTAAGGCTCCCGCGACCCTGTACGCAGGATAAGCGCTTGATGATGGATGGATGGATGGATGGATTGTTTAAGGCGAATGACAGCAGGAAAACAGTGGCAGATCTTTATCAATTTTACCTCCATTTAAGATGAGGACTGTTTGTGCTTGACTCAGAGATTTTTGTTTGGACTCGAGCCTTTTTCCATAGAAGTCAAATTCAACATTCATGTAGAAGCAGAACGGTTTAATTGCTTTTCCAGACTGCCTTATACTTGCTTTCAAGATGATTTCAGTAGACTGCCTCCCTTTTCCTTATCCGTCTCTCTTTTCTTCTGGTGTACGTGCTTGTTGAAAGCAGTGGAATAATATATGTATGCTGCTGGTTATTATTAATTACAGGACTCAGCACAGCACGGACATTTGAGAGCATCTCTGTCGAGATCGGACATTTCCAACCTTTCTTGGAAATCGGGAGAGTGTATGGTCGTGAGCTACACCGTACTTATTTGTAGCTGCCCTGAGACTTCTATAAGCCAGACACATTTGTACTTGTCTTAATATATCAAAAAGCAATCATGGAAAAAAAGAACCTGAATAAAAAGACTCCCTAGATCATATTACCCATTTTCCAAAGACACAAGACCAAAAACAATCTAAGTAGAATATCATTTCAGTGTGGTCGATGTTAACCTGTTGTGTGTTCAGTTTAAATATGTGTTGTTTTCACCTGTTTTGGCTTTTCCTATTATCATCTGACATGAAATTGATTCTATAGAATATGTCAGTTTTCAGTTTTTTTTTTCTAGTTTTCATAACTCTGCTGCCCCTGCTCTCCACGTCAGCTAAAGTCAATAAAAAACTGATACATATAAGTATCCATGTGATATTTAAGCATTCCTGAAAGAACTTTTTTCTTCCAAGTATCTAATGCCCAGTTAGGCACCACACACGTCATATGCATCAGACAGATCACATTTGAACATTTTTCAGGGAAACATAATGCAAAACAGCTGCAGGAATCTGATGAGTCGCCGTCTGGCAACAAACATCCCCACATATGTTTTTATCTGTGCTCATGGCACTGAAGCAAACGAGTGGGTCTTAAATACTCAACAATTTTATTTTGAAAAGAAAAAAAAAACGTTGCTAACATGCAGATAACACATTTATATATCTATTCTAATATTTCAAATTTAAGTGTTAATTCTAAGATGTCTGCATTTGCAGTATACAATGTATTTTTGTGCACCAAACACCAAGTGTAAAATCCACACCTAGTTAACATCCACAAGTAAAGGGATGATTAGCAGGGCTTTTACCACCTAAAAGCAGAAAATAACACTAATACGTACTGTAAATCTGCAAGGGTTCATTAGTATTGTTGATCGTTCTTAAGGGCCACTTAATTTTGAAGTGCTAAGTATTTGAGTGCTATGAGTGAATGACAAGCCACACAGTAGCTAAGACTTTTTGTATCCTTGCCTAAAAAGTGTGAGTTTTACCGGATTGTTATTGTGATACTGGCATCAATACTTGATGTCTCTTCTGGATTTGCTGTTTGATTTTTTTCAAACGTGAGTATCAGGAAGCTTTGATAATTTTCAAAAAAAAGTGTATTTGATGCAAAATTTTGATGCTTGACAGTTTTCGATATCCGATGCTAGAGACATTTGATTGCTTACCCAAAAAGTACTGAAGTTTGATACCCAGATTATTATTTTTTTAAATACACTGGTTAACTTATCTCCAGAGTGATCTGGGTTTAGTCCAGCAGTTGGGATAACCCATTCTGGCACAGTATTACATGATTTTTTGCACGTGTATTTGATATCAACAAGAGCCAAGTCTCACTGTCAAGTCAATCTCTGAACATAGTCACAAACTCCAAGTGATCATCAAGAAAACTTTAATCAGTATGATAATATTAACAGGAAACTATGATGTATTAAGGTTCACAATATATACTCTTTTATTCGCCCCAAACAACCAATGGACATTGGCAGTACACACAGTAAATGCATATGTATGAAGTCTGCCTGCGTGTGCTGGAGCTCAAACTCAAAGCAATTACAAATCTTCAGCAGGATGAGCACAAAGTTTTTCCTCAAAGTTGAAACGATCCCTAAAGCAAATGTGCATCTATTTGCACCTGTTTGTGTCTTCCATTTACTTTGTAAGTTGTACCACATTTCATTTGTGCTCCTTCTTCAGTCTTGTGTGTACTGTACATACTGTAAACCTATAAGGCGGGGCAGCTTAACTCTTTTTATATATAGATTGATCGTGTACATCATTGCATGGTTACAGTTCATGCTTGCTTTTGTTCATGTAGTCCATCTGATTCATTTCAGGCCTATGTGTATGACATCCGTAGCAGCAGCTACCTCTACAAACTCCAAAAACACTCAGACACTGTGCTCAGTGTGGCTTTCAACCCTGCCACACCAGAGGTAAGTACCTTCCTTTACCTTCTGTCTTTTGGGTTCTGTTGCTTCCTTTCTCTTACAACTCCTCTACCATGATCTCAATGCCCCCAATCACCTTAAATAAAGTATCAGTCGAGTTTCTCTACATCCCAGTAAACTGTTGACCAGAGTAAATATTTTGTACAGATTCAGTAACTGTCTTATATCACACAGCTTACCTAGAGGTTGTTGTTTTTACTTTCCAGATGTTGACCTATGTTTACTCTGCATAAACACCCCTGGGAATATGCATACAGGCAACAGTGTTAATGTATGTTTACCTTCCACTCTGATAATGCAGGCACAGCAATAGCCTCTGTAGGCACACAAGACCTTCTTAATGCAGCATAAGGATAACTTTTTATTTACATTTATTTTCAAGATTTTCAGTTCTCAGTTTTGATATTTTGTCTGCATCCTAAACAACAAATTGACCTTAGTAAGAAGTGAGAGAACACCTATCCCCTACACACCCCAGCCACTACAATACTGTTAATCAGTGGATTTTGTTCAGATTGAAATATTGTTCTTCATCTCAAGAATCTTCAACAGGTATGAAAGAAAAATTCTTAAAAGCAGAGGTCACAGTGAAAAGCAGTGTCAGTCAGAGTTCATGTCGCCTGACCAATTAAAGTCTTAATTGGCCACAGTGCACTGAGTGTGCTCTACCTGGTAGTCTAAATACAAGGTAAGAGATACAAGGTAAGAGGTACAAGGTTGCTTATTTGTCATTATACAACACAAGCTTGTATATTCGAAAGGTTATAGTCCCTTCATGCTACACACACAGAACTTAACAGATAATTAAATTAGTATTAAAATATGGTTACATTTAAATAAAATAAAATGAAATAAAACAATAGATTATATACAGTTATTTATAATATATTAATGGGCACCAATGTAACCAAGCAAGTGAATTCCTGCAGTTTGACCATTTCTTTTTCACACGTAGCTATCAAGTATGTCTGTCATGAAAATGTACATACAGCAACACACACACCAGTGAGGATCACGGAGAACTGGCTTCCATGTAACATCAAAGCTAAAGCTAGCTGAGCTAGCGCTGCAGTTTAAAGTTCCACAAAAGGCAACATTAAAAAACTGTTATCAGCATCCAACCTAATATCGTTTTTTTGTTTGCGTCAAATCAGGCTTAACGTTTACACAGTTTCTCTTGACTGTCCTTAAGTATTACAACATTTGTCCAACAGTGTGTGGGACCAGCCACATTAGCCGCTCAAGTTGAACAGGCTAACCTACAAAATAAAGAGTAAAACAACATAAAACATTGCAAAACTTACTGCTTTCAAGTTGGGTCGCAGACAGCCAGCATTGATCCATCCTTGAGCTTGAACCCTGTTTAAAAAAGCAGTCCATAGAAAAATGCACACACACGTTGCCATCAAAAGTAAACTTTATGCATTCAGCTCTTCTGTCCTCCGAGGTTTGGGGGCATGATGTAGCAATTTGTGCTGGTTCTTGGTGTCAGTAAGTTTGGAGCAGAGTAAGTAAGTTAGGCCTAGCAGACTTCCTGTCGTGTAAGTCTATTAAACCATACGGTTATAAAAACAGAAACACATTTGTTGAGTCAAAAAATATATGAATGTTATTTTGTTATTCACAATTAATGTTATTTCTAACTCAATATAGCCTCAGTTAAAACATAAAATATAAATGCATCTACAAACACTTCTGAGACAACAACTATTTTTCTAAATTTTAGCCTCCTGGACCAATTCCATTTTCATTTAAACTGAATATCCCCCAAATCGCTCTGTGGGTTTAACCAGTGGTGGCCAGTTTATAGTCCAATCAGATAATGACTACCGCTCTTTCATGCTATAACTCTGTGGGCTCTAGTGAATGACTTGGTGCACTGTACTGATCCACTTTCATGACTGGCAGCCTACAGGGTTGTTCCAACCTGTGATTGGCTGCACAGTTCATCTGTCGACTAAAGATGCATACAGGGTTGTGCTTGTTCAGTTCATTAGCTGCTTTTCAACTTTTCTGGTGATTGTTTTTTGTTTTTTTTTACACGATCCCATGTAGTTTAATGTAATGCCATGTTGTTGCATTCTGTCTGAAGGGATAGAAAGGAGTCAAAATTTAATATTGATGGTATTGCATGAGTGTCAACTGTCAAAACACTTTAAAATGCTTCAGTTTGTTGCTGTGATCTCCTTTCAGCAGTTTTCTTTGCTTGGCCCAATATCAACAGTGTGAAGTAGTAGATACCCAAAGAAATTCAGGGACCACTTGGAGTCTCACCATAGAAAATATAAAGTAAATCTTAACACACGACAAAGACCTTTGTCTATCTTGAATTGCCATTACAGGAAAAACAGAAGTCAAAGTTTAGAGTGCTATTTCATACCAACATCCTTTCAATGTCTCCAACAGAGCAACAATTCCCTTTGGAAATGTTTTATTGTCCAGTTAATGATTTTCTTTTGGAACTGTTCACTGCAAGTAGATTTGCTAAAGAAACCTTTTTAAAAAATAACCTCACATCCTCTGCTAGATGTCTCATGAGACTTCTTGTTGACTGTCTTTTGGACATATGTTTTAAATCTGCATGTCCATCTGTGTAACTCCATTCAGTTAAATTTTGCAGCACAATGATACATTCAGATTTCCACGTTTAAAAGTGGAAAATTTGATCCATGGCCATTTACTGGCTGAATTACAGTAATCTGCAGAGTTTGAAGACACACTTCATTAGTCAGAGCTTGCTCGCTCCCCAACAGTACTTCTGTGCATTCTATTTTGTTTGGTCAAAGCAGAAAAAAAACAAGAAAGGTCTGTTGACTGTACCTTTTATTGAGTTTTCCACCACAGGTATCAGGTGAAATCAGGCAAATGTTACTTTAATTGCTTTGATCTTTATTAAGCTCAAATTAGGACACAAATGTGAATACTTACTATAGTTGCAGTAATGCCTTGACAAATTATTACCTGGAAATCTGTCCATATCCTTTTAAACATGTTCAAATGTGTGCAGTTAATCAAAATATAGTGTATTATCATGTATCAAATTGTATGAATCTTTTCATGAGGTCAATCCTCACCCTTGGCCATCAATTCTTCCTGTTCTCAGATTTGTGTCACTGACCATCTCATACTGCAAGAAACTGCCAAGATTTGACCAGATTGAAGTTGTAAAACTCACAAATATGTGATGAAATGTGGAGGGCTCCGGAGGTTTTGCAGCTAAATAAAGAGCCAGAACAAGTCTTCCCACCTTGGAAATCAGGATGTCCCCATAAGCACATCCTGATTCAAAGTATGCTAAAAGTCACTTGCATTCCCAAAATAGGATTTATGTTGCTTTGACACATATTGACTGAGTGAGAAAACATTTAGTTACAGTCCCTGGGTCTTGTGAGTGACTAGACCTCTTGCTTTTAATATAGTTCTGAAAGCATGAGGTCTTTTACAATTTTTTTTTTTTATACTAACCCATAACCAGTAACACTGTAGCTTATTGAATATAGCTTCTTATTAACCAAGCAATTCTTTATTGGCAAACTGTATGCGCCACTGTTTTTCAAGCCATTTTCTAAATGCAATTAGAACAACAGTCTTGTGTGTTCACCGCTGCACAGTTACCTTTTGTCTTCCTACCCGAAGGGAAAGAGCTGTTCTTGATCAGTGGCTTAAATCAACATTCACTGTGGCCTATTTAATCTTTCTCAGGCACTCTTAGAGGGAGAAAGACCTCTGAAATGTACATCAAACTACGATAAAACAATATGAAATTGAAAGATTTGCATCCCTTGAGATCTTATTTTTAGACAGTTTTTCCAAATGAAATCCAGGGTGGATTGTCAAAACAATCCCAGGCTTTCAGCTGTATTAAACAGTTTCCATATGTCATCACTTAATAATGTGTTAGCCTAAGAAGAATTAAGAATGGACATTCATTCATCTTCTCATTATTTACATTGGAAATGATAGCTTGACAAAGCAATCTCAACTCTCTTGTCATGCAGGGTTTGTTTTAAAGAGGTGGTATTATGCTCATTTTCAGGTTCAAAATCTTAATTAGGGGTTGTACCAGAACAGACTTACATGGTTTAATTTTCAAAAAACACCATCTTTTTCTCATACTGCACATTGCTGCAGCTCCTCTTTTCACCCTATGTGTTGTACGCTCCGCTTTTGAGCTACAGAGTGACGCATCTTACTTGTACAAAATCTTTGTTGGGAGTCGCACATGCACAGTTCCCAGGTAAGGACTACTAGCCAATCAGAAGCAGAGAAGGGCGGGTTGTAAGAAACAAGGTAGTGTGATCCAAATCAAAGCCGCATTAGACTGCGACCGTAACCTAGCAGATGGTATAAGTTACTCACAAGTCCACAACCACACAATATAATTGTTCCACATCTTACCATTAGGACTAAACGTTGAACTGTTGCCGGTGTTCTGACGATCTATGCTGCCTTGCTGAAAAATGCTACCATAGCGCAAATCAATAGACTTGACTCTACTCGGCCCTGCTCCGTTTTCAGTGTTTCAATGTTCAGTGTGACACACACACGGCAGCGATCCACACAGCTCTTAAAATATATACAGTCTACGGTTAAAACGTTTCAATATTACTCAGAATGTGAAGACAGATAAGCGGTATGAAAACCTTCCAGCTGTGTTTTCCTCTGCCGTTGTTGCTGCAGCGGTCTGTGTGACGGCGGGAGCAGAGGGCTCTGTGAACGGGCAGCTGGCCGGCCTCACACGCTCCTCCCGCGGGTTGGTACAGGCTTCCCCCGCAGCCACTTGCAGAGCTCCTCAACTCCGACAATATTCAAGCACATTTTTGTTCCGCCATCACTTCTCGTAAAACTGTCAATATTCGAAATCTACACAGCTGATTTCTCACCTCAAAACTTCTCAGAAGTGGATTTAGTGATGAAATTCTATACGAAACTGTAAAATACAAAACTTTCTGTTGCTGGCCTCTGTCTGGCGCACGCAATGATGA